AAAATACTATTATATAGAATATACCATATTGTCTCGAAATAATACTTGGGGTGTAAGTCAAAATATTGGCCTGAATTAAACCTTAATTCGGCCTAAATAAAGCTTAATCCGGGCCAAACTTTTGAACTACACCTTGTGGCATTATTTTAAAACAACAGTAATGATAACTTATCACTAATTTATGAATTGTAAAAGTTCAATTTCAAGAATTTAGATTTATTTAATTGAAATTAATTCATTTAATTGAAATTAATTCATTTAATTGAATTATATTGCATAGTTTGCATAATAATAATTCAGATTGCTAATCTTAACAATTCATTTATCGGGATTTGCAAATTGATGTGACTTTTGATGCTTAATTGTCGATTGTATATGATTTTATGCGATTTCTTGACAATCATCTGATCAAATTCAATGAAATTTTTTTCATTTGAATTTTATAAATCTATTGAATCCAAATAAAAAAAATTCATCGAATTTGATCAGGTAGTTGCTGAGATATCATCGCTCAAAGTAGAAGCTACGCCAAATTATTCTAAAGTTTGAGCAAAAATATTTCTTTATTTGAATTCTATAGATTCATAGATTGGTGAGTAAATATTTACGATTTAAATATAGATACCATGGTTTTCCATCCCTGTCAATGATCAAATCCACAAATATATCTTCCCACTAGTAAAATTCAAAAAACGTATAGAGTCGGAATCAGCACGTTACGAAAATGGTCAGATGAAGGAAAGATCAAACATTTATCTACACCTAACGGCAAAGGATTCTACCTTGTTGAAGACATTTCAAGATTGTTTGAAAACTATGAGCGATCTGTAAATTTATAAGTTACTTTAAATCATTGGACATTCACCGGTTTAAAGTAACCCATAGATTATTTATTTTATCTGTTCAATGTTCGGTTCATATCTCTACTTTAAAGGACTCGGAATAAAAAGACTGATTAAGAGAAAGTCTGTTCTGAATAACATTCTATTTGAAAGTCTCTATTGCTATGAAATTTATTATTTTTTACACTATATTTATTATGTGTATATGACTTATCTTTATTTCTTATATCTTTTTATATAATCAGAATTAGTGCTTTATGAAACCATGTGATGCTAATTGTCACATGCTACAATATATAAATAATCATTTTTATAAGTACTATAATAATATGTTACAATTAGAATCACATAGTTTCGTCAAGCATCTATTATCAGGATGTTGTTACAGTATTTCACTTTTTTATATATATATTTATAGTTGATTTTATCATTATATTGTTAAAAGAAAGGCTTATGTATTGTTATGTTCATATTAGAGATGTGAACTGTGAATTACAATACATATAAATAAAATTTTAAAACTAAACAGTTTTACAGTTTATTTATTTTAACTAATAGTTTATAGTTCGTACCTCTAGTCATATAAAACAAGATGTCTAAATCTAACAATTGAATTAATTTCAAAAAGTGTGAAATGTCAAAAGGAATAATAAGAAATTACTGTCTGGCAGTATTGATCTTATAACTTTTTATCCTTACATTTCTTTGCCTAGCCCTCGGTAATACAGATATTGTCTTATTTTTATAATCTAAGCAAAAGTTGACATATTTATGATGTATTTTTAATATAGCATTAGCAAAAGTCCTCATATTTGATCAAACTAATGGAGAACTTAACTACAATAAAGGTGTTGAATATTCGTAAGACAAACTAATTTTTTAATATTTAGTAATAAATTTCTTGTTAAATATTTTTTTATTGTAATGGGGTATGAATATTTTAGGTATATAGCACTTACATGGTTAACAGCAGGTAAGAACTTGTTATTATTTTTATTTACTGACTTTATATTAATACTCATAAAATATATATTTTATAGCAATTAGTTTTCTTGCAATGTGTTGTTATTGTTTTTTTAATATGAAAGACTTTAGGTACTATATCTACTTTAATGAACTCTTTAATCGATTTATTTGTTTATTTTTTGAATCTTTTATACTAATTTAACACTTTAAAACCTATATAGAGCTTTAACAATAATTATATCGATAGCTTGGTTTGTTCTACCAAGTAAGTTTTTATAAAAATTTAGAGTTACTAATTATTAATATTAACTTATCTTGTTTTTTTTTTAACCTAGTTATTTATACCATCTTTACTATACATGAAATTGACCTGATTCTATTTGATTGTCAGTACAACTTTAAATTTGCAAAAAGTAAAATAGCTTATAAGATTTGAGTAGCGAATTTGATTTTTATGTGGTTATATTTAGCTTATACAATAGTTAGCTTTATAATTATGATTACTTTAATTTTTGATCAAAAGCCTGATAATACTGAAATAAATAAATATTGATAAATACTAAGAGAAAAAAGTTGAAAGTTAACATATACTTGAATTGATCACTAATTATTTTGAAAAAATAAAATTGTAATGCTAAATGTCAAATATATTGTTACTTATTAATTTTTATTTTAAGAATTATAACAAAAAATATAAGCTAACTAATAAACTTATAATTTATGAAGCAAAATTAATTTCTTATATTAGAAATTTTAAGAAAGTGATATATATTTAATTGTTCTAGGTTCACTATATAAAGTTCTGTTTTATATTTAATGTATTTTCGTTGCGATATAATACAGCAATATATTTAGAGCTACTAACAGTGAATGTTAATATCAACTTCGTTAATATCAACCAAAACTATAAAGAAATTAATTAATAGTTAAAATTTTTTTCAATATTTTGTACTTAAAGTCAGCACTATATTTTAAACTTAGATTCAATTTTCAAAATTGAATCTAATTTAAGATCAAATTTTCAGATTCTGATCCAATATCAGGATCTTTTTCTCTGTATAAATATAAATTTTAGTTTATAACTCCGACAGCACCTAGGTGCCGTCGGAGAATCTAAAATCTATTTGTTATTTTTTAGCTATTTAAATTTACAAAATGGTCAAAAAGTTTAGATAGTATAAAGAGTCAACAGTATTGGATACCGATATGTAATTAATACAAAGATATTTATCTATTAAAGTTCTTTACAATATTTTACAGTACCCTCAAAATAATAGACCATTCCAAATAACTTAGATTGAATATAAGTTCTATTTAGTCAAAGTACAGTTGCATTAACTTTTTTTTTAAAAACTTTGTGTTAAGATATCTAAATTCGAATTCTAATAGAATTAAATAAATTTTTTTTATTAAATTTAATCTGGTACAACTTTCACTAGTTAAACTCAACCTGATTAGTTAAGCTCAACTTTTACTCAAAATTTTATAAATTCATTACAGAATATCTTGCAATATAAGTGACACCACTAATAAAATGTATTATTAATCAATTGATTTATGTATTATTAATCAATTGATTTAGAATAAGTTTCACCCTCACTGCAAGATTCATAGTTAATAAAATTGAGCCAGGTTATTTTGACGACATGGGTATGCACTACCGCAGTATCTAACATTTGTAATGCTCACTAACAAAATGACTTTTAGTACTATATGAATTATAATCCTGAAGTATCATTTTGGTAATTATTTTTATCTTTATTTTATCACACAAATGATAGCATTTACTTAATTGCATTATCAGTTTGAACAATTTTTATTTTAAAAAAAAATAATTAAAAAAAATTAAATTATTTAAATTTTTTGAAACGTCACATCATGATCAGATTTTTAAAATTCGACTTCTCATTCTTTTATTAAAATTTTTATTAATAATAAGTTGAACAACTTGAACGAACATATTGATATTAAAAACCTATATATCAATGAAATAGAAGATGAAGCCATTAAAATTTCAAGTAAATTAAAGAATTTTCATTAACGTTAATATGTTTTAGTTATCTTTCAAAGTTTATATGAATTAGAAATCCAGTAATTATAGGTATCAATCAATCAGACTTATCGTTATTTTATGCAAATCAGTTGATCAAACAAGTTTGATAAAGGATCAGACTCTTCATCTTTTTACTATTATCATTATGTAATCAGTTGATATAATGAGTGTATTAAATAATTAAGAGTATGTTTAATTAATGTATTTTTTTTATAAAAGCGAACGATTCCTTTTTAACGTCTTTAATAATATTAAATTAAAAAATAAAAAATATTGAATACCAATGATAATATTCAAGAAATATATACACTTAAAAATTTTCAAGAAATACCTACACTTGAAAATAGTCAAGAATTACCTATCAACGTGATTGAAGAATTTGCTATTACATGTTCAAATGAAATTAAATTACTCGTGGATGAAATTAAAAGAAAGAGAATAAATTTAGATCAGGTAATAGTTTATTAACTGATTTCTGGTCCATTTATTATAAAAATTAACTAACTTTTGTTTTAACAGATCATAGAAATTTTGAGAAAGAAACGTGAGGAGAAAAGAATCATTAAAAGAAAAAGACTACAATCAAGATTATCAGCAAGAATGAAATACCTTAATGCACTCAACGATGATCAAAATAATTAAAAGTTCAGAAAATTAAAGTCTTTTTCCCAATAACATTAATATCAATTAGTGCTAATGATTATATTACATATAAAGTTTACAAACATTAAACAGAATTTATGTAATATACCAGGAACAGAGTTTGTACAATATACAACGTAGAGTATGGTTTACAAAATAATAGTTTCTTTTTTATCTGATTGGTTGTTCAAATCTTGTGACTTCGTCTTGTGATTTTTGGATTTTTATCTATAAAGCTTTTTGTATATTGACACATGATAAAAAAAAAATGCGAATTATCTTTTCTAGATTATTAAATAATGTTAATTGCTCTATTTATTATCTCGGCTTTTAATCTCGTCATAAATTTATTAAATTATTCTTGATTTTACCCGTTTTTGTTTGCTGTTCTGACCGTATTGTTATATCGTATAGAAGCAAAGTGGTTAGTACTGAGATATTTGCATAATTTTATATATTTTTAAGAAAGTTAAATACCATGTTTAGTAACTTATACAAATGTTGTTTCAAAAAAAAAGAGGCACAGTCTTAATCCTATTGGATAAATCATAATAATTTTTAAATTAATTAGAATTGTACTACAGTTAAAACTCTCTAAATAACTTTTATGAAGACTTAACTTTTATAAGAGATGCTTGGGAAATAATAAAAAGGTGCACTGATACAAAGAAAGTATATATTTGAGCTAGGATTTAAGAGTACATTTAAAGAGATTGCATAATTAGAGGCTCATTGCAATAAATATTTAGCCATAATTAAATTTTAATCTAATCTATATACTATTAGAATATGCTACAGATTTTATCTAGAAAATGATAAATTTCGTCTAACTGTATTCGTTCATTTTAGCTATTCTAAGTTCAATACTTCAAAGGTATGTATTTTTCACATATACACTTAAGAATTGAACTATTCATCGCTTTACTAACCTACTTACTATTATCGAATGCTTGATTCTTTGCTTTTTACACTTACGTTTAATTGCAAATCACCATACAGCGTAGACTAAAAGACCTCTTTTATAATACTCCTCACGATTTTCGGAGGCCTAGAATATAAAGTGCCCCAGATACTAAAGACAAATTAATTGTACTTGTGAATGTAAAATACCTAGTTACTTAACAAATCAATTATGAAATTTGCCAACTAAAATATGATGGGATTAATATAGTATAAATAATTTATTTTAAATACACCTATTGACAAATGTTTATTATATTTATCAGTTACATGAAATAAAATAACAATGAAAGTAAATAATTTATTTTAAAAAAACTACATACATGCAAGAATGCTACATCTATACTATACTAATACTAATCTATCTGAATTGTATATAAAGTCTATTTAAATAATATAGTGTTGTTCAGTAAATTGGCGAGTCTGTCGCTAATTTCTTCTAATCCTCATATAACCTATGGCGACTAAGTCGAAATAGGCATGTTAGATTTGGCTAGTTTGTTTATCCGTAGATAAGTACTAATCTTCTCTTCTAAGTTTTTTTTTCAACCTATTTTTCTATTAACCCTTTGCATTCTCTTCTCTTTCTTCTACTTCCTTAACCTGGGGTTATGATACGTCGAATCGGGTTAGAGTCCTTCTTTTGCGTTAACAGCTTGGTCACATGATTTATGGCGAACAATCAAAATGTAGTTTAGTGATTTGCAAATGAACGATAGTTGGATACGATGGTTTAACGATAGTTTTTAGTTTAGGTTAGATTATAGTTTACTTTTAATATGGGTCTGATACTTTAGTTTATTTAAACAAATGTATTTACTTGAGGTACCGTAGTTTAGAGATACGACCCAGATACTAAAACCTCATCCGGATATCTGGATACTTTTAAAATCAGATATCCAGGTGAATCTAGATTAATTATAAAATAAATATCTAAATTATAATGCTTTAATGGCTCAGTAAATTCACTATCAGCATATTTATACTTAAGAACTTGAACTAGTAGATATATAATCGAAAGTGTTGCATATTGTGTACCACTAAAATATGCTATAGTATTATCGAAAGGTTCTAATAAAGTAATAATTTCTTCTAAGAGATCCCATTTATATGGTAATAAAAGTCATTCTTTAAGCTTTTGACCTTCAGCTCGATCATCTGAATTTTCTGATAAAGTTAAGGTTGCAACTAACCATTTGATCGCTCTATGTAATTTAAGTAACCTTCGCTATAAGTGATACTTAGAGTTTCAATGTGTCTTCATATCAGAAATATTTCTTAATACACTTTTATCAGAATTATACATATAGTCTAAAGTTTCATTATCAGAATTATCTGATGTTTCTGAATCAGTATTCTCTTGATGTTGCTCAAAGAAAGTAGTTGAAGATGAATTACATTGTTAAAATCGTTATGTATCATCTAAATATTCACTGTGCTTTGGAGACTGTATAAAAAATTTAACTAATCACTTAATTCTTTTAAAATAAATGTTTGTTTTTTTAAAAGCATGATTAATTGACAACTGCAAAGTATGCGCTGCACAGAGCAAACGTTCAACATTCTCCCACAGGTTAATTGCCTTAACCATGTTGCTTCCATTATCAGTTACAACGCAGGTAATCTTCTCATTTAACCCAAATTCAAGAGCTTTTTTTTTAAAAAGTAAAGCTATATTTTCACCCGAATGGGGGTATAGATATGTTCTATGCAAAGAAGACAGTCATATAGTTTAAAATTACTTGATAACCAATAGATGGTTATACCTATATACCTGTGTTTACTTCGAGCAATCCATAGGTCAGTGGTCAATGATGCTGATTTACAGGTAGTATCTAATAATTTTTTTATTTTTTTAACACCATTTGCATAACTCATATAAATTTTTTTTAATACTTTTTTCAGAAGGAATTGAAAAAGCTTTGTCAATAACCTTCATCATTTTCTTGTAATCTTTTCTCTTAATTACATTAATTGCTATGTTGTCAGTAATAATCTATTCCGTAATAGCTTTTCGAATTTCTTGAATTTGTGGCTCTTTATATGATTTAGACCTTGCTTGTTTGAATATTTCAGGTAAATTTTGCTGAATCATTCCATCTCGAGGCTATATTAAATTATTAATATTTTTAATTATACATTATAATATTCATACAATACAAACATACCTTATCTTGAGTTTCATTTAAATTATGTATATTTCGAAGGTGATTACTCATATTACCTGTACCACTATCATATTTAAGCTTACAACCACATAGTACTGACTTATTTCGCAAATTTATTGTTTTAACTTGGCATTTAACACATGTTTCATCATCACTTAGTTTGAAGTATCTCCAAACCCAACTAATTTTAGCATATCACTTCTGTGTTTATTTAATTTAACTTTTTTTTTTGGAGGTTGGTCATTAGGAATTGAAGACATTTTATTGCTTGAGCTAACAGAAATACTGTTACTGTTTTCAGGTTGTTTATAAAAAACAGATTCCTCATACATTTCATTAAAAATATCATCATTTTTGTCAAACATTTTACTATGAAAAATATTTAATGTTTAATAAATGATAACAGAAACTAAAATTATAATTGATAAAAATTATGAAGTTAATAACACCTTTCATTATATATTTAAGTTTTTTAAAATTATATACATACCAGCACCAAAGATCTTAAAACTATACACACGCTAATACTAACGCTAAAGGTTTTTGAAGCTATAGGCACATAAATTGTCAATGCCTAAGATTCTTGAGAATATGTAAACACCAATGTCAAAGATTCTTAGAAAGTTAATGTTCGCTTACTCTTTATTCTTTCACTTTGTTCTTTGTTCATTCCAATGTCAATCTCCACCTTAAAATGATACCACCACCTTAAAATGACACCACCACCTTATATACACAAGGTATTACAGCGTTAACTCTTAGGTTTAGTTTTATTCAATGAATACTAAAATATCAAGATGTGGGTATTATCATTCTCAAAGATCGAACCCTTTATTTTTTGATGCACGATTACATCACTATCTGTCATAATTGACTGATTATGCGATTATGTCGATTTTTGTATTTACTCTTGCAAATGATACCCCAGTTTTAGACATCATATGCATTCAATCAAAGCAAAAAAATGAATAAATTTGATTGGTTAGTTATTTGCTGCGCCAATTAGTATGTTCATGTAACTTCATATCTGCTTTCACCCAGGTTAATGTATCTTACCCGGATACCTGAATAACCCACAGGTTATACAGATTTGCCTGACCTGGATCGCATCTCTACCGTAATTACTTTCTCCTAGTCAGAAAGCCCTTTATTTATAATAAAAGTTTTATTTACAATTGAGGTTAATTTTCTCTATATTA